AGTCTTTCGCATCAGAACACAGTGTGTATCCATGAGGCATTTGCCCTACGGCTACTGCACGGCGAAGCTGAAGTGTCGGAGCCCAGCGTTGTCTGGGGCAGCGCGCCCAAGCCGTCACATATGCTCCAAAATCGGGCACTCATGTCTTCGCAATGTGCTCTCTTTTTTCACAGTTGCCGCCCCGATGCCAGTTCCGCAGGGTTTCCTGGGCAGCGTCATTCTTCTGCGCGCGCTTCATGCCTGGATGGGAGCTGCCGAGCATGAAGCACGCAGCCCCGCAGTTGCGCGCAGACTTTTCCCGCCTGGCGCAGGCGGCCGAGGCTCGGCAGCATGCCGGTTGCGTTTTCGGACGCTGCGTGTTTCGTGGCCGGACGTTCGAAGGTCCGCAGGCATGCCAGTGCGACGTTGGCCAGGCGTTCGAGTGTGCTTCGCAAGATTCGCAGGAGGCAGCGACGGCGCACCTCGTCCAAGAAGCCCGAGCTGGTGGAGCGGATGTGGCGCGTGTCCCGCATAGCGCCTCTGCTGCAGGCGCGGCGCTGGGAGGCCGCAGGGGCCAGAATCATCCGCGCGAGACGGCGCATCCATTGGAAGTGCTCGAGCGCGCCGTCCGGGCCACCGGCGAGATGCGATGCTACCGCCTTGGTGACAGATTTCTGGAACAAGTCGCGGGCACGGCGATCGGCGCTCCATTCAGCAATTGCAAATTGTCGCTGGCTCTGTCCCTCCTGGAGTACAGGTTTGACACGGTAGCCTGGCCTGAGTTGCGTCGACGCATTGGCATTCGCGGCCAGAGACCAGATGTTATAATGCGTGTTAGATACGTCGACGACTTGATGTTGATATCTCTGGCTTTCCGTCAGCATTGTTTACGGATGTCTGTGGATTGAATTTACATGGATGTCGTCAGTTTCAGCGAGTCGGAAGTTTTAGTGCAAGTGCGTCGCGATTTGTGGATGATTCTTTTCATGGACACATCTCTGTGGATGTCGTTGTCGTCTTTGAAACTGGGCACTTCGCTCAGGACAACATGTTACGCGTATTCGGGGGGCGTCTCCCACAGGCCAAAATGTCGTTTTGCCCCGTTCTATTGGGAGCAGGCGGATATCAGCATCCAGGTTGCTTTTTCGACTATCCGGAAAGCTGGCGAGACTCGAGCAGCTCGGAGTGACGGATGCTGATTCGTTCTGCACGGTTGCGGAAGATATGTTGGAGCAGCGTTGGGACGGGTATATTTTGAGCTACATCCGCCGGGTATGGCTGGAGCTACCCATCGATCACGTGGCCCGCCGGTATGCCACCAGACTGCTTGACCATTTCCGCCAGGTGTTCCACGCGCAATGGTGGGACGCCCATTGCCGCCAGCAGCATGCGCATCGTATGTCGCAGGCTATGCTCCTTTGGTCGCGAACGCGCCCTCCCCAATCATTGCTGCAGACATTAGTTCAACTTCATCAGGTTGACATTTGGGGATGCTGGGGGAGCCGACCTGCCGCGCTGAGTTTCGAGGCAGCGCCGGGGCGCCAGCGCACACCTCGGACACCGTTTTTGGACCAGGCGGCGGCTGGTATGCATATCACCCCTGTGATGCAAGCTGCTGAGTGCGAGGGGCTGGACGCTGGAGTTGATTCTGCGATCTGGCTGCGAGCCCAGAGGCGTCGTTCAATGCTGGTTGAAAGGTTGGGGCGGTGATATTTGTCGGGAGGCCTTATCGATTGCACGAGCGGTCGCCCCGATCTCCTTCCAGGAGGATTTACAATCGTAGCAAAGCCCGCCCAGTGAAGCGAAGCGCAGCGCAGTGATTTGCGTTGCCCATGTGGCATTTTTCGCGCATTGCTTTCCGTAGCCGCTCGGGCCCAAACCTCGTCGCGATCATTGCGTCGGCGTGCCACGGAGCCGTGGCCACAGCAGTCCGTGCTCAAATAGTTCTAGCTCCGACGGAGGGTGATTCGCCTGTTTTCTTCACTCTGGCAGTCAACGGCGCGTCGCAACTTGGAGAAAAAAAACACATCTGACTTGTCAGCAGGTGGGGAACCAGGGGCGGGAACCACAGTTGTCAATTGTGCTGGCGGTCTGGCAGGTGTATTCTCTCATCAGGAGGGGGGGCGGCGTCGCGCCGCAATAGAGAGGTCGGGGCGGCGGGGGCGCACTGGCTGGCGCGCGGGACGACGCAGAGGGGGCGCTCGGGATGGGCGGGGCGGCGCAGCGCCGAAATAGAAAGGTCGGGGCGGAGGGAGCGCGCTGGCTGGCGAGCGGGGGGGCGCAGAAGGGGGCGCGCGGGATGAGGGGGGGCGCGGTGCCGCGCCGACATGAACGGATCGGGGCGGGGGGGGCGGCGCCGCGCCGAAATGGGGGGGGTCGGGGCGGAGGGGGCGCGCTGGCTGGCGGGCGGGGGGCAGGCGCGGAGGGGGCGCGCGGGATGGGGTTAAAGTCGGGGCGGGGGGCGCGCTGGCTAGCGGGTGGGCGGGGGGGGGGCGCGGAGGGGGCGCGGGATGGGGGGGAAGCCGTGCCGAAATGACAAAAGTCTGCGCGGAGGGGGCGCGCTGGTTGGCAGGCGGGGGCGATGCGGATGAGGCGCGCGGGATGGGAAGGGGGGGGCGTGCCGAAACGAAAATGTCGGGACGGAGGGGGGGCGCCGGCTGGTGGGTGAGGGGAGATCTGGAGGGGGCGCTGGCGGGTGGGGAGGGCGCGGAGGGGGCACGCGGGATGGGAGGGGGGGGGGGCTGTGCCGAAAAAAAGGGTCGGGGCGGAGGGGGCGCGACAGCTGGCAGGGGGGGGGATGTGGAGGGGGCGGGCGGGATGAGGGGCGTGCCGAAGTAGAAGGGCCTGGGCGGAGAGGGGGCGCGCTGGCTGGTGGGTGGGGGATGCGGGGGGGGTGCTGTGCCGAAATACAAGTGTTGGGGCGAAGGGGGGCGCGCTGGCTGGCGGGCGGGAGGATGGTGGTTTGGGTGGGGGGGGGGGGGGCCGTGCCGAAATGATAGGGTCGGGGCGGAGGGGTCGCGCCGGCTGGCGGGCGGGGGGGGGTGCGGAGGGGACACGCAGGATGGGGAAAGTATTGTGCCGAATTAAAAGGGTCGGGGCGGAAGAGGCGCGCTGGATGGTGGGTGGCGACGACGACGAGGACGACGACGACGACGACGACGACGACGAGGACGACGACGCCGACGACGACGGTGGCGACGACGACGACGACGACGACGACGACGACGATGACGACGACGACGACGACGACAACGACGACGACGATACCGACGACAGCGGCGGCGACGGCGACGACGGCGACGACGATGACGATCACGACCACGACCACGACCATGACGACCACGACGACGACTACGACGACGACCACGACCACGACCACGATCACGACGGCGACGACGACGACGACGACGACAACGACGATGACGACGGCGGCGGCGGCGGCGACGGCGGCGCCCAAAAGGAGTGCGCCTTGCTCGCCCTGGCGGGGATCCCCGAGGAGTACCTAAGCACGGCGGGCCCCACGGTGCGGCTGAGGAAGGACGGCGGCGGCGGCGGGAGCGACGACAACGACGACGACGACGACGACGACGACGACGACGACGACGACGACGACGACGACGACCGCGGCGGCGACCGCTGCGGCGGCGGCGGCGGCGGCGGCGGCGGCGGCGACGGCGACGACGACGACGACGACGACGACGACGAGGACGACGACGACGACGACGACGACGACGACGACGACGACGACGACCACGACCACGACGACGACGACGACGACGACGGTTGCGGCGGCAGCGACGGCGGCGGCGACGGCGGCGGCGGCGACGGTGGCGGCAGCGGCAGCGGCGACGGTGACGACACCCCCGAAAGGAGCGCGTACGCTGGAGGCGCGCCATCCGCGAGGCGCTGGAGGCCAGGCAGGGAAGGAGAGCAGCAAGAGGAGGAGAGGGGGGGAGAGAGAGAGAGAGGGGAGAGGAGGATGAAGGAAGACGAAGAAAAAAACGGCATGAATTCAGCGTCCTTGCGAGGGGGTAATGGTATGTCTTACTGGTTCGGTCGTTCTTGTAGGCCTTGAACCGGTCGAGAAAAGATGAACCTTCCAACAAGCGAGCTCCAGAGGTCCACGTCGGAGGCCTCTGGAGGCCAAAGACGGCACAGACCCTCGAGTCTGGGCCTTCGATTCTGTCACTCCGTTCAACGATAACAGTCCTCCGCGGCAACGTTTGTCTCTTTCCAGTGCAGATGGGGATCGTCCCTATCCAGCGTGCCCTGGCCAGGGTAAGAGTCCTCTTCTGCACACATTTGCTGGCGCTCGCACTGGAAAGCTTCCTGGCTCCGCTTCGCGGAGTGACCACAAGTGAAGCTCGACATCATGACAAGACCGATGAAGTCACCGGGGGGGGGGTCCTTCCTCTTCGCCCTCAGCCAATCTACCTTTCTATTCCCTCCTCCCCTTGCTCCTCCTCTGCCTCCGCCTCCTCCTCCGCCTCTTCCTCCTCCTTTCCAAAGGCAGAAGGAAGCGCGTCACCACCATCTCAACCTGGGCAATGCAGGCCTTGCTGATGTGTGGGACGCCAGCGAGCAGGAATGCCAGAATTAGAAGTATACACCACCACCTCAGTCGCCAGTGAGCCCCTTTCGCTACCCTCCAGGTGGTGGGTGGTGGTGGTACAAATTCTCATCCTCCACATTATCATCGTCACCATCATCAGCATCAGCATCATCGTCATCGTCAGCAGCAGTATCATCGTCATCGTCATCATCGTCATCGTCATCATCGTCATCGTCATCGTCATCATCGTCATCGTCATCGTCATCGTCATCGTCATCATCACCGACCGTAGCCGTTCTGGCAGCTCAATGATGTCTTCACGTCACTCAATACTAACAGGGAGTTTGGTGCTCCCTCCCGGCCTGCTGTCAACGTAGCCGCGCATGCCTGCCCTGGCACGGCGCTCTGCCGGGCCCGCAGGCGCCCACCTCCATGTCTTGACGTGCTTCTTGCTGCTGCGGGTGGCATCCTCCTCCCGGCAGCACCGCCTAGGGCACACGGCCCACGGAGCTGCAGCTGGCCCGACGCCTCCGAGCATCACGGGGGCAAGAGCCGCGCTCGGTAGCATCGGGGAGGGCGACAGGGGATTGGGAAGGGGCGGGGCGCGAAGCGGGCGACATGCAGCTGGCTTCGGCCCCGCCGCCAGGCATTGTCCTCGATACACAGTCGCCTCCGGCGCCGGGAGGCGCCGGGGAAACCCATCGACTTGCAGCTGATTCGTTGCCCCCTTCTCTGTTTCGGAGGCAGCAGCACCAGTATCGCACGTCGCCCCCACCGAAGCAGAGGTGGTCCTGATCCTGTCGCTGTTGGTGTCACTCGGGCTTCTCGGGTGGCCGGGGGAGCACCACCGGCACCGAGAGCCAGGAGCAGCGTTCCCCCAGTGGAGGCAGCCCCTTGCGCTGGTGCTGGTGCCAACTTCGGTGCCAACTCCCAGGCCCCCACTGTTGGAGGCCCCCTGCCTCGCCCCCCCCGGCGGAAACGCGACGGGCGGCCCAGCAGGCGGCGCCGCCGCAGAGGCCGCACGCGGCCGGCCCGGGGAGGCCGTGCCGCAGCTCCGGCGCGCGGAGCCTGGGCGGGGGCCCGCCGCCTTCGGCGGGGGCCTCGGCAGTGGCGGGGCGCCCCCGGACGGCTTCGCGGACACGCCGCCGGACAGTCCGCACCCCTCGCGCGGGGACGACCCCGCCGGGGACGGCAGGGGCGGCGGCCCGTGGGCGCCGGACCGCATCGCCTCCTATGCGGGGAAGATGCCGGAGCACTTCTCGCTGCTGACGGCCCTCTTCGGCGAGTGCGACAGGAGCACCTGTGCGGCGTGGGATCGGCCGTGCACCCTCGGGCTCATCCTCTCCAGCCTCCTGATGGCCTGGACGTTCAAGAACCTGAAGGTGATTTCCGACGTGTACTTCGTCCCCTCTACGATCGCCTTGGCCAAGGTGCTCAACATCCCGTCCGACGTCGCCGGCGCGACGTTGCTCGCGTTCGGCTCCAGCGCCCCAGAGTTCTGCACCAATGTGGTTGCCACCTTCTTCTCGGGCAGGGCCAAGGGGGGTCACCACCGCCTCCTGGAGATCGAGGGTCGAGGAGGAGGGTGGATCGAGGATCGGCGAGGGTTTGGACTGGTTTTTGGTAGTCTTTGGGAGTCCTGGGAGTCCACTCCGTGTGGAGTTGGCGACTCCCTTAGTGGTCACCCCTCGTGGCATTGCCTGGTCTTCATCGTGAACGAGTGTGGAATTGGAGACATCATCGGCTCAGCAATCCACAACGTCCTGTTGGTCGTCGGCGTCTCTGGTATTTTCGCCGTGCGCTCCTTGAACTTATGGTGGTACCCGCTTTCCCGGGATTGCCTCTTCTACCTCGTTGCGATCGTAGAGTTGACTGCTTTTCTTTGGGACGAGTATATACAGATCTGGGAGGCGTCCGTGATGTGCCTGACTTATCTCGTGTATTGTGTTTGGATGTTGCGAAACATCCCGATCTACGAGGGCCTCTGCAAAATGTTGAAGAAGGATCCTGTGATACCGGAAGATGCCGACGAAGAGGACGACGATATGCAAGGGGCCTTATATTACGACCCAATCGAGGTCTTGTGGCGCTGCACTATGCCTGATCAGGATCGTAGGCCTTGCGCCTGCTTCTTGGCCTCCCTTCTCAACATCTCGGGTGTTGCCAAAGGTGCCCCTGGGCGAGAGTCCCCCGGGGATGTGCAGGGAGACACCCACGGCCGCCAGAGCGCCCCTCGCGAGGCCCAGACGGCCCCAGCGGCGCCAAGCTGGCGCGAAAAACCGGGAACACCTTCAGCCAGGGCCAGCGCCACCCCTGGCAACACCCGAAGCGTCGCCGTGCTCTCGTACCTGATGGTGGACTCCGCGACACGCTTCGGGTGCATCGCCGGCATCCCGACGCTGTTTATGGGCCTGGTGTTCCTCGCGGCGGGCACGTCGATCCCCGACGCCTTCGCCTCCATGGCCGCTGCGCGCCGCGGCGAGGGGGACATGGCGGTGTCCAACGCCCTCGGCTCCAATATCTTCGACATCCTGCTCGGCCTCGGGCTTCCCTGGCTCATCGCGCTCCTCATCTCGAGGGGCAAAAGAAAGATGCCTGAGCATGAACTGTCAGAGCGCCTCGCGGATTTCTTGGATATGCGCTGGGGCCCCTGGCGCGGTCCGAAGGTGGTCCAGCGCCGGTCCAGGGAATTTCCGCGGAGCTCCGAAAGTTTATGCCTGTGCCGCTGTGTCTTCCTCGATCATCGGGAAGCCGATCGTGTTCCTCGGGGTCAACAGGCTGCTGACCTGGGTGATGATCCTGATCCTGGTGCTCTTCCTGTTCATGGGCGTCGTCGTGCTCAGCGGCTGGAGGCTCAACTCGAAGATGGGCCTGGGCCTCGGCGCCCTGTACGTCGGCTACGTCCTCTTCGGGCTCCACCAGTCGAGCGCTGGGCACAAGATCCACTGAGCGCTGGCCCCGCTCCGGTCCCCACTTCCTCTGGAAGGAGGGGGGCAGAAGGGGGAGGACGGGGAGCGATGGGGACGGCGACCCCCAGCGGCCCCCGGAATCCCCAGAACGTCAGCAGCGTCGAAGGAAAAATCGCCCGGCGAGCCCCAAAGGAGGAGGAGAACCAGTGCAAGCCCAAGACGCATCAACGATGTTGCAACAAGCACTCAATCCGAGTTCCCAGACGAGGAGAAGGAGGAGGAGGAGGAGGAGGACAAGGAGGAGGTGGAGGGGGAGGAGGGGGAGGAGGAGGACGAAGAGGAGGAGCAGGAGGATGAGGAGGAGGGGGACGAGGGGGAGGAGGAGGAGGAGGAGGAGGAGGAGGAGGAGGAGGAGGAGGAGGAGAGACGAGGAGGAGGAGGAGGAGGAGGAGGAGGGAGGAGGAGGAGGAGGAGGAGGAGGAGGAGGAGGAGGAGGAGGAAATGGAGGAGGAAGAGGAGGAGGAGGAGGGGGAGGAGGAGAAGGAGGAGGGTGGGAGGAGGAGTACAAGCTAGCTGCGCTCCCTTACCGTTGCGCTGATTCTTCTCTATCCGCCGTCGAGTGTCATAGCGAACGTGGGGCCTTCCAAAGGACCCTTATCGTCTTCTGCGCAGTCAAGGAAGGGAAGCTGTGCACATTGGAGAAAGGGGAGGCAGAAGAGGAGCAGGACCAGTATGAACCCCAGACGCATCAACGGTGTCATAATGTACCCTCCCTCCAGCCTTCATCTCTGCACTGTGGCCGGCTCTCGTCGCGCGTTCATTCCCCTCAGTTTTCTTCTTTTTCCTCCCAAAATAGCGCTTGGGGGGGGGGAGGGGGGGGGAGGGAGGGGGGGGGGGGGGGGGGGGGAAACTCCCTCCAAGTTCGCCCTTCACAGACCCAGAGAAGAATTGATCCTCATTGTGGAATGTGCCCCATTAAAGACAGCCGTTTGGGAATCCGCAACCGTGCCAAGACACCGTTCCTGGAACTTCAGCGCCGCAGATCAACGTAACCGTTGCATCCTGACAACCCTAAGTCGCGCTAGAGCACCACTCTCGGAACTTAATGCAGCGATTCAACGGGGCCACTGCGCCCGGACAATCCTAAGTCGTGCCAGAACACCATCCACGGGACTTCAACCGTACGAATCCCTGAAATTGTTACAAACTCTTAAAAGGCGAATGCACGCGACACAGATGAGAGCCACAGTTTGAAAAGGCGCCGCCATTCATCCGTGAAACTGCTGCAGTATTTTAACGACTACGCGCGGCCGTAGCATGAGAGCCACATTTTGAAAACCACCCACGCGGTTTAGACGAATGAGCCCGGCGCTAAGGCGAGAGCCACATTTTGAAGACGGTTGCCCTCAATCCACGAAGCGTCTGCAACATTTTACGACAAGCGCGCGCGGCGTCAAGGCGAGAACCACAGGTTGAAAACGGCCCGCCCTCTATCTGCAGAACTGCTCGGATTCCAAGCTTCAGGATCATAAATGATGAGGAAGTCTCAGGCGAAACGCCCAGCCCGCCGTACCGACACGTCTGGGGTGTAACAGCAAGAGGAGGGTCAGGAGGAAGAGAATCAGGATAAGGAAGGAGGACCAGGAAGAGCAGCAACAGTAGGAGCAGGAGTAGGAGGAGCGGGAGGAGCAGGAGGACCAGTGGAAGGCGAGGAACGGAAAGTAGCGGGGCTACAACGAAGATGGACGGTTCGGATCCAGAATCGTGGCCCGCGCACGGGCGAGAGCGCCATTTGGAACGACGGGAGGGTTTCTCTCAAGTGTGGACCACAGATTGGTCTACTTCGGCGAGGAACCGCAAGCGGCGAGAGGGAGGCGCAGAAGGATGGTTGAGTCGGGCAATAAGCAAGCGGGCCGGCAACGAGAACGCTCGAACAGCACAGCTTGCTGCACCTGCAGCCCAGCAGGGCCAGGGCGCGAGGACCAGCTTTTTGCGAGGTCATGCGCCGCCGAGGGGCACCGAGGGCCGCCTCCAGCGATCGAGAGTCGAGGAGGAGGAGCAGGACCAGGAACGGGAGGAGGAGGAGGAAAAGGATGAGGAGAACGAGGAGGAGGACCAGTCTAAACCCAAGACGCACCAACGATGTTGGAATACACCCTTCCTCAAACCTCCCTCTTCACAGGCACCTACCAGGGTTGATTTCCACAGAGGGAAGTGCGCCGTTGGGGGACAGTCTTGTGAAAATCTTGATACGTGCCAAAACGCCATTCTCAGGATTTCAACGCCACGAGTCAACCTGACTGCTGCGTCTTGACGATCCTGAATCGCGCCAGGACACCATTCCTTGGATTTCAACACCGCGAATCAATGTAACAGGCGTTCCCTGACAATCCTGAACCGCTCCAAAACACAATGTTTACAATGTTAACCATAAGAAGCCGCGAAATTCTTGCAACTTCTCACAACGAATGCGCGCGGCGCTTAGGCGAGAGCCACATGTTGAAAAGAAGCCGCCTTCAATCAGTGAAACTACTGCAGGCGTTTAAGAAGAATGCGCGCGGCGCTAAGGCGAAGGCCTCATTTAAAAAACGAACCGCCTTCAACCAGTGAAACATCTGCATTTGTTTAAGACGAATTGTGCGCGGCGCTAAGGCGATAACCACATTTTGAAGGCGAGCCGCCGTCAATCCGTGAAATCCATGCAATTGCGTAAGACGGATGTGCGCGGCGCGACGTCAAGAGCCACAGTTGAAAACGTCTTGTCTTCAATTCGCGAAATGATTGCAATGTGTTCAGACGAATGTGGGCGACGCTAAGGCGAGAGCCACATTTTGAAAACGATCCGTCCTCAACCCATGAAACTCTTGCAAACGTTTAAACATGAATGTGCGCGGCGCTATGGCGAGAGCCATATTTGGAAGCGGCCCACCCTCCATTTACGAAACTGCTGATAGTTTTTAAGCTTCAGGTTCATATCCAAAAAAAGCGGGAGTCTCTGGCGAAACACCCGGCCCGCCCTTCCCACTGGCCTCAGTGTGCGACAGGAAGGAGCTATTCATCAAGAAGAAGTATGGAGGAGGAGGAGGAGGAGGAGGACGAGGAGGAGGAGGAGGAGAGCCGCTTGGGGGGGGAGGTGGATAGAGGAGGAGGAGGAGGAGGAGGAGGAGAAAGAGGAGGAGGAGGAGTAAGAAGTAGAAGAAGAAGAAGAAGGAGAAGGAGGAGAAGAAGAAGAAGAGGAGGAGGAGGAGGGATATGTGTTCCAGGGCTCCGGACCCTGAGCCCCCCGCCCCAGACAGACCAGACAGAATTGGTCCCCAGGCGCCGCGCCCCCCCCCCCCCCAAGTGAGGTAGGGGGGCGACGACGACGACGACGACGACGACGACGACCTCCCGCGCCCTGAAGCACTGTAACGCCACGCCACACGCACATGGAGACGACGACGACGACGACGACGACGACGACGACGACGACGACGGCGGCGAAGAGGGTTCCACAGCAACGCCACCCCACACTTACAGGGGCGGAAGACCCATCGGCGCTTGAGCGGGGCGATCCCACTAGCATTCGAGGGGGGCGGGGGGCACAGGCCTTGGAGCTTATGTGAGTTGGAGGCGCGAGGACATGAGGACATGAGGAAAAGGAGGAGGTTGACGAGGAGGAGGAGGAGGAGGAGGAGGGACACGTGTAAACCCAAGGGTCAGCAACGATGTTGGAATAAACCCTCCCTCCAAGCTGCCTCTTCACAGGCCCCCTAACGGTTCATTTCCATTGGGGGAACTGCCCCGTTGGAAGACAACCGTTTGAAGACCTTGAACCATGCCAAAACATTTTCCTCGGGATTCCAACGCCACGGATCAACCTGACTGTTGCATGTTGACGATCCTGAATCATGCCAGAACGCCATTCTTGGGACTGCACAGCGAATCAACGTAACTGTTCTGCCCGCGTAATCCTGAATCCTTTCAGAACACCATTTCTGGTACGTTCATGGGAACGCGTGAACCTCTTGCAAATGTTTAAAAGGAGTGTGCGCCGCGTTAAAGCGAAAGCCATATTTTGACAAGGAACCGCCCTCAATCAGTGAATCTCTTGCAAATGCTTAAAACGAATGCGCGCCGCGCTAAGGCGAGAGCACATTTTGCCCGCCCTCAATCCGTGCCAAAACGCATGTGCGCCGCGCTAAAGCGAGAGCCACAGTTTGAAAACCACCCGCCCTCCATCTGTGTTTTTATATGATTTCTATAAGCCTCAGAACCAGATATGGGGAGGACGTCTCAGGCGAAACGCCCTGCCCGCCCTAAAAACTGGCATCGGGGTGCGACAGGGAGAAATCATGTGTAAGGATTCGGAATGGAGGAGGGAGGAGAAGGGAGGAGGAGGAGGAGGAGGAGGAAGACGGGGAGAAGGAGGAGGAGGAGGAGGAGGAGGAGGGGGACGAGGGAGGAGGAGGAGGAGGAGGAGGAGGGAGGAGGAGGGAGGAGGAGGCAAGACAAGACAAGCGCTCCGAAGAACCCCCTCTGATCGACTGAGCTACCTCGATCTACTCTAGGTTCGGAGGAAAATCCCGAAGGGGACGGAAGGGGCGAGGTGGCGGAGCATCGCCGAAAGCTAGCGTCCCGCCCCGAGGATCGCCAAGGGCACGCGTTACCCAAGACGGGGCCCAGCGAAGAGTAGGGAGGGCGACACGACAACGAAGGGGAACGAGTCACGGCACCAGGACCTCGGGAGGACCAGGAGGACGGGGAGGAGGATAGTCTACTCTTCGTTCGAATTCCACCCTAGCGAGTCTGATTATATGAGCGCTATGAAACAACTTCTCAAAACGGAAAATCTGGCAATGTTTTAAATATTCTCTTACACATACTGAATCGGGAGCCTCCGATCGTCTACCGAACCACTCAGAAGAAGCGGGCGGCCTAGATCCCGAAGAACGAGGCGGCCTTGAGGTCGCAGAGGGAGGTGCCGAAGCCGCAGGCCTCGAAGCAGTAGGAGTGGACCCCGAAATCGTCGGCCTCGAGGTCGTAGGAGCAGGTGGTCTCGCAGGCGTAGTCGGAGGTCGCGATGGGCTCGTTTCTGTAACGCCCGTGTCAAGATACCGAGCCGAGGTCTCATCAGGCCGCTGAAAATCCGCTTCCATCATACCATAGCTCATTGGCAAAAAGTTATCGCGATAACTTTCCCGATCATCCACTGTACCCTTCGTGCCATCATTCCACGTCCCATCATCAGCCCTCTCCCCCCGCCCAAGGCCCAAGTCGCTCCGAGGGGGACCAGAGATTAAGGCAGTGCACACCGAGGGTGGGGGGCTAATTGGACGTGTTGCGGCATGAAGTAGTCGACTTACTCTTTCGTGAAAGCTTCCAGCCAGTCCTGAAGCTCTCGCTCCATGTGGCTGACGGGAGCTCGACCCTGCTTCCACTCCGCTCCCGTCTGGACCATCGCGTCGATGATGCACTGGCGGATCTCCGGGTGCAGGTGGAGCATGAGCTTGCACTTGTTGACGTCGTAGCAACGATCCATCTTGCAAAATTTGATCATGTCTCCTCGCTTCGCCGTGTCCCAGGTTTCGATGACCTGCTTCAGCTCCACGATCTTCTTGGCGTTGGCGGCTCCGACCGCGTCCTTGCGCTGAAGAAGTGCGGTGAGGAGGCCGCCGAAGACCCACAAGTGTGGAGGACCGTGATTGTGGCCTTTGCCTGAAGCTGTGACGGCCTCGTTGTAGCGTGCACCTTGAGCGTTCATCTGGGTCGCCTCCTGGCTGGTACCGTCGAGGATCAGACAATCGAACACCACTCCCTCGATGCTGCGCTTGGACTGACCAAGCTGGAGGAGGAGCTTTAGCATCAG